ACCGTCGTGTGTGTGTGTGTGTGTGTGTGTGTGTGTGTGTGTGTGTGTGTGTGTGTGTGTGTGTGTGCCTGCGTACGTGGGGTGAGAGTGGAGCAAATGGGTGCGCTGCTTGCTGGTATTGCTGTTTGTCACACATGCGCTACACCATAATCCCTCACTTGTGCCCCCTCACCACTGGTTCCGCAACATGCCCTCATCTCCTCTGTCTTTGACTTGTGCTCGATTGTTCAGCTGCACTCCGTCCTCACCGTGCTTCAGGATGAGCTTGTCAACAACCAGTTTCCCGAGTACGTCCTGTCTACTGATGCATGTGGTTGCTGTTCACTCATGTTCGAGCGTGTGCATGTCACTTGTGTCCTCATTTTCACGCGACCCGTGCTCATGTGTATGTGTGTGTACATGCGCTGTGCTGTGCAGTGAGCTGGGTGGCTTGACGGTGCTGTGGGACGGACGCCCTGCCAATCTTCGCGTGTTTACACAGGACCCGCGCTTCTTCTGTCTGCTCCTCTCCACGGCGGTGAGCACGGTTAAATCCACATGTTGTGCGTGTGTGTGTGTGTGTGTGTGTGTGTGTGTGTGTGTGTGTGTGTGTGTGTGTGTGTGTGTGCGTGTGCGTGCGTGTGCGTGTGTGTGTGCGTGTGCGAGTGAGTGTGCGTGTGCTTCTGTACTCGACTCGTGAGACGTGTCGCAACAGCTTTGTTGACAGTCCACTATGCTTTGTTTGTCTTACCCTTCTCATTACTCCTCATTGCTCCTCCTTACTCCATTCTGTCACGGCATTGTAGCACTTGCCACGACTCCCTGCGTTCGTCCCCGTGTGTGCTGTGATTGAAGTGGATTGGATATCCGACCATCGCCACCGCAGTCGTGTCTCGGACCGCTTTGGCGCCAAACGCACACCACCCGTCACCCTCTACAGGTGTGTGTATGTGTGTATGTGTGAATGTGTGTGAATGTGTGTGAATGTGTGTGAATGTGTGTGAATGTGTGTGTGTGCGTGTGTTTGATTGATTGAATGATAGGTCTCATGTGCAAGTGTGCTGTCTTCGTTTGACTCTCCTCTCAACGCTACCGCTTCAACACGTTGCTGTTCAGGTTGTACACGAAGGACACGATTGAAGAACGTGAAGCCAAGGAGCAGCCGCCATCACAGGTGAGCAGACACACAACTGACGTGCGTGCTTGCTGCTTCACAAGCAACTACGCTCACAAGCACCCACGGCATGTCTCCGGTCACAACGCAGTGCTTACTGACACACACACACACACACGCACGCACGCACACACACACACATACACACACACGCACACACCTGCATTGGCCGTTGACATCCACTCAGCATCTCCGACGCGTGGACAAGGCAGAACGCATGGCGCGTCTGTTGCACTGCCCGTCCGTCCTTGCACCACAGCCACCACTTGCACCACCGCCAACAACCGCTGTTTCGTCAGCCGGCGAGTGATGCACGTCTTGCAACACATGACGAGATTGACACCCGAACAATGGCGCCGCCACATCGCTGAGGGCTTGGTGTTGGTTGAGAGGTTGCGGCTTTCTTTACAAGGGCGCCGTGGCATGATGTGGTACACACGCACACATTTTTTATTCTTTGACCTACAAACCAGAACACTCTCTTTGTTTCGAACACAAGAACAAGTAGACAGGTGCGTACGCACTCGCACGCACGCAAGCAAAACAGGTGCATTGGTGAATCATGTGTATGTTTCCCATTTGTTGTGGGCGTTCCTCAGCTTTCCTCGTGTCTCCTCTTCTTGCTGCAATTGATCAAAACATAAACGAAGCATGAGTCAACCTTGCAGCCAATGCAAACACACAAGCGTGTACGATGGATGCAACACGCGCCCACGCCGAGTCGACAACGAGAAACAAAACAGCTAGGTGACCCGGCAATATGGGCAAGCAGTTGACATGTGCGGCATGTCATTACGATGGTTCGAATGACGTGTCGAATCATGTGAGAGCGTGCACCATTCATCACATGAGCACAAATACGCATCGCACCTGACGCCTGCGCGCATGCCCTCGTGGGTGTAGTCGAGGAACGCTGTCTTCTGCGTGAGCTGCTGAATGCGACGCATGTGGCGCTCTGATGGTGACGGCGAGGGTGGAAGCAGTGACGACAGGGAGGGGGCAGGTGACAAGAAGTGGAAGTGGTGGCGGCATATGAGCAGCGTGAGGACCCAAGGAAAGAGAACAATGCAACAACACGTGTGATACTCAGCAAGACACCGGTCCAACGCAGTGACCACACACTTGGTGCCACCACGTGTGTCGCACCAGAGTAGGCGATGAGCGAGTCGAGAGTCTTGGCGCAGTTTGGAATCTTGAGCAGGTGGTCGTGGGAGGTGGTCGTGATGATGATGTTCAGGAGCTCGTGCGCCTCCCGGCTGAGTGGAGTGGTATTCGGGTGATATTGGGATACATTGGATTCGAGTGGATGGTTGGTCGAATGGGAAGTTGGTTGGTGGGTTGGTGGGGCGCACGACACGAGCATTCAGGCAGAAGGAAGCAACATGAGCAAAGCGAGTACAGTAGAGTAGACAGCATGCAAGGCATGGGCATTCAATGTGTGTGTGTGTGTGCATGAGCGTGTGTATGTGGGCGCGCGTGTGGCTCTGACCTGGTCTTTGAGTTGAAGTTCCAGTTCTCAATGAAAGAGAGCAGACGCGTAATCTGCTCAATATCCAACTGTTGAATGCACGGCTCAACCTCATCCTAACACACACACACACACATACACGCGCAGATTCAGGTATGTTGAGGTGAGATGCAACAGCGAGGCTGTGAGCAAGACGAACAAAACGCTGGAGGTGGTGTATTCATTATGGCACTCGTGCGCGCACCATTTCGTCGGCGTCTCGCAGGTGTCGCAGCAGTCGCAGCAGCGTTCGTGGCTGTTGTGCACATGCATCCATACGTCCACGTGCAGGGCGGTATATGAGTGCATGCCGGGGAGGCAACAACAACAGTCGAGCCAACAACACAGAACAGCAGCAGGGCTGGAACTCAAAGCACACACGTGAACCACCACATATCCACAAAAACACACAAACACACATACAAGCCAAGGGTAGGCGCACCCTGTTCTTGTTGACGGCACGGCGAAAGGCCTCTGCGTATTCCTGGCTCTGGATCAAGTTGTTGAGCTCCTGATCCTCACGCAGCTGAAGAAACAGCACACACACACACGCACACACACACGCACACACACACACACACACACACACACAAAAGGACATGGTTATCATGAAGGTCGAGGAATGAGCACATCTCACAGCAGATTTGAAGACAAAAAAACACAAACCGAACAGCGCCTTGACACCACCAGCACCATCACCTCCATCACCACCACCATCACTGTCACAGTCGTGCTCACCCTCTCCTCCTCCTGCTTGCGTGCTGCGTCGTCCTTCTCCTTCGAGTCGTCGCGCCAGATGGCGATGGTGCCGTCCGCGGCGCCCGTCGCCATCTTCTCTCCACTCCCGCTCACATCAAGTGCCCAGATCTGATTGTAACGCGCGATGGGTGAGACGCGGTGAACATCGACGGGCAGCACGGAGCAAGTGTAGCACCAGCAAACACGCACATGCGAATCGCTCGCGTCCTGGCACACACCGCATGCAGCCATGCGCAAAAACGTACACATACGCACGTACACACACACACACACACACCCGCATCAAGACACACACACACACACACACACACACACACACACACACACACACACACACACACACACACACACACACACACACACACACACACACACACACGCACTTTACGCCACCTTTTCGTCGTGGCCGTCGAGTGTGGTGACGCAATCGCCCGTGCGCAGTGTCCAGAGCTTCACAACGCCGTCAGAGGACGACGACACAATCTGGGTGCCCTTGCTCACAAACACGAGTTTCAGAATGGAGTTGGTGTGACCCTCCATAGTTCGCAGACAGGCGCCGCTGACCGCGTTCCACAGCTTCACGGTTGCATCACCAGAGGCAGAGGCCACAATCTGGTCTGACGGAGAAAACCGAACACACCACACGCCGCGCTTGTGACCCTTCAAGTGAAGCTTCGCGTCGCCCGTGTGTGTGTTCCACAGCTTGATGGTGCGGTCCTGCGACGCTGATGCAAGCAGCTTGTCGTTGGGGGCCACGTCAAGGCTGTTGATGTCCTTCTTGTGCGCAATGCGGGAGTACTCGACCGTGGCGGGGATGGCACCCTTGATTGTGCGGTCCACAGAATCATCGTCCTCGTCGTTCTTCACAACATCGTCCCATGGAAGCGTCCACTTCTTGACTGTTGTGTCCTCGCTGCCCGTGAACAGAGCGTTCTTGCTCTTCTTGCAAAACACAACCTAAACAGCGTGTGAAAGCAATGTGTGTGTGTGTGTGTGTGTGTGTGTGTGTGTGTGTGTGTGTGTGTGTGTGTGTACAGAGCAAGCCATCACGTCAGCATAGCAGAACGAGTGATTGACATCACACGCACCACGTGTGTGTGTGTGTGTGTATGACTGAGTGTGTGTGATCATAATCTATAGTTAGCCCTCTTTCCTTGGTTCACTTCACCACATCCC